TATTTTTTTAAATTAAATGTGTTACTCCCGATACACTTAATGGCGCTTGGTAAAGCACCGTTCCTTTCGAAAACTTCACGTCCCATTGCCAAATGGAAATACGGGAGATAAAATAAATATGGTTCTTAATATATATGTACTCGAATATAAGTATATAAGAATCATATGACTGCATGTGGAAGTAAATGTTGAATTATTTTTAAAGATGACAGAGCTCAGCCCACAAGCATATGTTTTTCATAAAATTCTATTGGCAAGGCTGAAGTATAAGTTTCAATAATCTTATATACGCATAATTAAAAACCGCAAAATGCAATTTCATCACTGAACATGACTATAGGCATTTCCCGTTTGTATATACGTACATATAGAAGGTAGAAAACCCCAGTAGGAAATTTTTGTTTACTACAGCAAAAATAGTCGGAAATGCTTTTTATTACGAAGAAAGAATATTTTAAAAATTTAGTATGCTGATTTAAGGTTCTTTTAGGATTTTTCAAAATGTACACTCAAAATTTTTTAAAACTCTAAAATTGTCTTCAAAATCAGTGTTTTTTAGTCAGAGTTAAATTCATATACTTTTTATAATAATAGAATAAAAATTAATTTTTGCTTAAAACATTATATATATATTTTTACATATCTAGCCGCGCGATAAACTTCACATTTAGATATTTTCTGTGGATTCGGATTGAAATCACATAATTCATACTTTGACTTTCAAATCCACATACATTTTTGTGAATTGAATCCGATCATCCTGTTGTGAGTGAATTGATAAGTAAGTGGATAACAGTGTTTTACTGAGTTAGTTTTGCTCACTGGATGTTTTTCTAACATTTTTCCTATACTCGTATGTATATAGAATATTTTCTAAGCATATTTAAATTAGTTATTTATTGAAACATTCATATTTTCAACGATTTCCTGAGCATTTTTAAGCAACTGAAGGCGAAATTTCAGAGTCAGCAGAAGTTAAGATATAACTTTGTGAAAGATCTAATGGAATTCTTTAAATTCGCATTCTGGAATCGAAAAGTGAAAATGGGAAATAGGCGCACGATATATTCATGTTTGCTCCCCACTGTACGTATCGAAATGTCGAACACTAAACGATTCAAATGATTTCACTTCCTCAAAGCCGCCAGAGTCAGCACATTAAATTACATCACACGACCGATTGGGGTAAAGCTGCAAAAATCTGTACTTCGATACAGAGACGATGATGACGACGACGAAATGGTTGTAATGGAAAATACTTTTGCTCGCCACACTGCCACAAATCGACAGCGAGACAGCAACGAAAAGGAAATCATAGAAAAATGTCTTCCAATTTCGTCTGAATGAATGAGTGAATGAGGACAGGGCTGAAGGCTGGAGGCTAGAGGCTGGTGGCTGTTGAAGCAACCAAACCGCACGACAGTTGATGGTAGTTATTGCTGATGTATGTACACTCTTATATACAGGCTCAGTGCTGCCGTTTAATGCGTGCGTTGTAGATTTCAATTTCCATTTTTTTCCAGTTTTTTTCTTCTCTCCAATATTTCGAATTGCATAATAATGGATTAGGAAGGGAAAATAATTATGGAAAAATCATTTGATATCTACTTATGCTGTACGAGTATATAAATACATACATATGTATATACATATGGGGAACATTTTTTCATAATGTTTGTATGCATATACATATATGTCTACTCGTATGTGCGATGCACGTGTATTTGACACGAATACGCATGACGTGCTGCGGTGAGTTCCGTCTTCAAGCGCACAATTTTTGTCAGTGCTGACTGAGTGACTGATTGATTGACTGATTACCAGTGGATATATCAAACATATCTACATACAGATGTACAATTGTACGTATGTAGATAAATAGGTAGCTAGTTGTTAGCGAAGAGGGCCAAATTGCTCAACAAAGTGCTCGTGGCTTGGTTTGAATTTTGCATTTTTTGCTTCTTTTCCTTCTCCACCACCACTCTGCGATGACAGACGGATTACGTAAGATTGGTGGCAACCACGCACAACAATCCTAACCAATATTCGTACAGCCACAGGTTGCAAGCCAACGCGTTACTGTCGCCGCCGGTGGTGGTGGTGGTGGTGGCGGCGACGCGCTGGAAATGCAATGTTGCATTCGTAATTTGTTGAGCTGATTTAATTCCGCATTTGGTCGACTTTTGAAGACGCGTATCAAAAAAATCAAAAGAAAAACAAAAAAAAATTGAAATGTGCGACTTTTTTAAATTCACAATTTCGTTGTATTTTTTTTTTTTTTGCGTCTAAAGTCAAGTCAAGTAATTTATAATTAAAGTTAAATTTTATTTTGTTGAATTTTAAATTTTACTAATTAATTGAAGGGAGGCATAGTCTAATTTTTAGAGCTTTTGCTTTCACGAATAAAGATTTTTAAACAGGTGGCAACCTTAATCTAAATTATTTCTATATTTGGAACTATTATGAAACTTATTTATGTTCTAGAACCGTATCCACTGCACCACGTTGTGTTTTAGGATATTTCAAATTTAAATATTTATTTTTTGTTAATTTCTATAGGGTGGCAATGCCAAACATCAAACTAAATTCAAGAAATACTGTCTTTTTAACCACGTTTAGGGCTTTCACTTATTCTAGTTGCAACACAATTAGTATTACAGCATTCCTCAGATGACCATTGTCCCCACATTTCTATTGCAAAGGTCATTGCCAATATTCATAGGGAAAAATTAAAATGAATACGAAAGCATTTAATTAAAAGCAAACTAATTGCCATTTATTAATTGTTGTAGACATTTCATTTAAGCCGCAGTTGTTGTTGCGGCATTTTGTAATGATAATTATACACTATGGTCGCAAATGTATATGTGTGTGTGTTTGTAGGTGTCTTCCAAATGCAAAACACTAGTGCATAGAATATAAAGATATAGAATTTACAAAAAAAAAAAAAAAAAAAAAAAAAAAATAATTGTTGCAATAGCAATCGCATGCCAATTGAGCAGCAACAGTGCATTGTTATTACCTCTTTGTTGCGTTACTTGTCACGCTTTATAGCTATACGGCAACGCTTAATATTGAGCTTAAAAAATGGTATGAAATAAATTGCTTACAACAAAAGCAGCCAAGCTAAACGGACCAATACTGCAACGCGTGATGAATTTTTGGAAGGGCTTAACTAACAAGTTTAAAATACTAAAAAAAAATTAATAAAATATAGCCATACAATATGTCTAAAAAAATTAGAAATTAAAATCATAAAATATTTGAAAAGAATAATTGAAAAAAAAATTAAAAAAAATATACAAATAAGTTTTATTCTTTAAAAATTACAATTTGATAATAAAAAATTCCACAAAGCCATAAAACACACTTCTTTAAATGAAAAAATTGAAAACAATTGAAACAAAAACACTTGGTGTTGGAGGATTATCCATTTTGCCGTTCCGTACATAAAATGATTTTAAAATATTTTTTTTTGTTTTTTCAAGAAATTTCTTTTTTTTATAAAGATGTACCCGGCATTATATGAGAAACATTACATCATTCAAATGTTCACCTCGTGAATTCTTCGTGTATTTGAAATATTTTTTTTTAGTTTTGAAAACATTCATGTTAGAGCCTTCTTACTTTTAAGCAGTGGTAGGAAGAATTTTTTACAATACTGTCATAAGCTTCCACATTGCAACAACAACATTGCAACAACTTTCAAAGCCAAGAACGCTGCTGCAGTGAAAATAATTTTTTTTTCAGCGCATTTCTCTTTTTATCGCTCTGTTCCTTCTACCTTTTACAATAGTTCTGCATTTCGTTTCATATTTCCACATTGGAAATTCGAGTGGCAGTTTGTGGTGACAACAAAAACACAAAAAGAAAAGACCTGAAAGTGGCAATCAGCGATTAGTTGTGGACAATGAGATAAGCTTCACTTTTTGTTTTCCGAAGCAACGAAGCGGAATAACGACAGCACTGGCGACGGCGGCAGCAGTAGCAGCAGCAGCTTGACTCATGCAAGACACACACACACATACACACAGCACAATACAACACCCACATTTCCATTTAATGGCGCAGGTAATTGAACTATTGCGCACTTGCAACCGAGTAAACGAGCAAACGAGGCAACGAGGCAACGTGTGGATCGAGTGGTCTGAGTTGCTAAAACAAAGCTCACTTTGGACCACCAACAAACCAACCAACCAACAACACCAATGAAAGCCAACAAATGGCAGCGTATTTATGTGTTTTTTTTTCAATCTTTCTTAATTTAGTTTTCCATGTTTGTGGCTTTTATTGGCAATTATTTAATAAAAGTCTATTGTGCGGTCGTCTCGTCCACATTCATAAATGATGCAATTGCTCTTGCTCTTGCTCCTGTTTCTGTTTCTGTTTCTGTTGTTGTTATTGTTAAATAAAAATTTGTACAAATTAATGAGCATAGAGGGGTTGCCTATTTTTTCGTTTAAAATACTGCGCAATATTCGTGCAATTCATTGTCTCGTGGGTGCCAGATGTCAACAGATGGCGGTTGATGAATGCAAAAAAAATTCATTGTTAAGGTCACAGACAAAAGATCTGTTTTTAACCAAAATGCTAATCACTTATTATTTATACATGTTTGCATGCATGCTTATGGTATGCTGGGGTCTCGTGCCTCACACATATATTTTCGTTTCGAATCTGGCTCAAACATTTTCGTCTAAACAGACCTGACGGTATTTATAAATTTAAATATTTATTTTAAATTTTCTGATAAAGTTTTTTATATTGGGTAGACCACTTTCGTTTTTAAATTGTTACAATGTTGAAAGTTTAATGACGAAATATGATGGACTTCGCCTACAGCTTGACTAGAAATGGGATCGTAGTGGATAATTTTTTTAAGTCTTTTCTTAAGCCTTTCACCAAATTTAAACAAAAAAAAAACTAATGTCATCATTTCCAATCAACTTCACCCGCATCCGTGGATAATTTTCCTTCAATAAGTATTTTTTTCTACTCACCTTTTTGTGCGATGCCACCAGAAGTGCGTGATTATCATCGCCTGCAAAGAAAAACGAAACGAAAAATCATAAATAAGCGAAATGTGAAAAGTTATAAAAGACTTTGGAGAGATTATTAACTTCAAGAAACATACAAAATTAAGTACAACTTAAACAGTTACAGCAAATATTTAATTGCAAAATCAGTCATTACCAATAACACCAACCACAACAGTAACAACAAAGTACTTAATGAAGCCACTAGAAACCAGCCTTCCAAAACCTAAGTGGTAAATGTTAAATGATGAGTGTGTCAACAACAATAACAACATCAGTGTTGACGCAATAAATGCGCCAGTTGAAGTGCTGCCTTTGCCAAACAAACAAACGAAAATATTATTAAAAAAATGTAAATATTTTACTTCTTCAAGCAGATTAATCTGTTGTGCCCAATGACATTTACGAGATCACGACAAAAATAACAAAAAAAAAAAAAGTAACGCGTGATGTAATGCGAAAAGACTGTGCACCTTTCGATGGTATATGGAAGAGAAGGTAGAGTCGTGAGCCGAAGCTTCATTTTTGGAGTTGTCGACGAGCTTTTTCAGTTTGCCTGCGAGCCACCTTAATTCGAAAAATTATTTAATTTACTAACTACACAGAGAAATGTTGCTGCTGAAATGCTAAAAGGGCATAAATCATTATTTTTAAATTTTCAAAAATTGTTTGAAAATTCTCTGTCATTTACAGAAATTAAATTGCAATAAACTACAAAAAGGTATTTTTTATTTTTCGAAGAAGAAGCATTTGATCGCTATGCAAATCGTCGGTAATGGCAAAGTAATGATGTTGGTAATGTATGGTATTTGTTTAACGAGTTCGCTGAACCGTTAAAGCATTTATGCATTTACTTTGCAAACACATAATACCTGTGCGTATGTATGTATGTGTGCTCGAAAAGTCTTCAAATCGATTTGAAATGTTAAAATATGCAATGTTAAAAGTCATTTGAAGTGCTGAGGCCGCTGATGATGGCCATAAAACGCTTAGCGTGGTTACAACGCGTTGGTTAATAATTGAAATGTCTTTAATGTATATATGTGTGTGTGTACTTCTCACTCGACTGAGTCTTGTGTTAGCTGCTGAGCTCCCTTTACGAGTTGAATATTCAAATAATATGACAATAAATCGTTATTGGCCGTTAATGAGATTGGCAAGGGTGGGGGCGGAGGCTCAAATTCTTCTGCAAACAGCGCTGAAATGTGCTGGGCTTCGGTTTTTTATTTGTGTTATTAATTTATGTCATCTCTGAGTTGTTGATATTTAAATTGCGCCACTGGGCTTTGCAATGACATCAGCCTGTTTGGCCTTTAACAAACGAAATGAGTTTAAAAAAATTATAAAAATAATATCAAACCGAAATATGTTGAATTATCCAAAAAAGAAAATAAAAAAAAAATAAAAAAAGAATATAAATGAAATAAAAAATTCAAAATTACATAATTTCTTTGTAGCAAATTAAAGCACGAAATTTATGTGCTTTTGGACGCAGCTGTAATATGATCATGATTATTATTTTTTATTATTAGTAATATTATTTACATACGTACATATCTTTTTGAAAACAGCTTATACGTTGTATATATGTATGTACGAATGTGTGTTTAACATAAATTTGCCTATACCGCGTGAACGCAGCCGGCAAAGGCGTTTAAGATACAAAATGACCGTTAAATGTCAATTAAATATTTCAGAAAATTAAATTTCGCCGGCTTGTTCGACATGCCGAATCGTACATACGTGTATGTATGTTTGTATGTATGCATGTACGTCTCTATATTTAAATTTCGCATAACAGCTACAAAGTCAAGAGTCAATAATTTGAATTGAAAATCTACAAATCGTTAATTGAAGGCACAAAAGTGAAGCTCAAAAATTTGTCTAGAAAAAAAAAAAATATATATAAGGTGTAGTAAAAGGAAATCCATTATTTTTCCATGAATTTAAATGCTTTGGTTTTTCTTTTCATGTCCAGCCATATTCAAAAGGTTCCAAACGGTTTTTGTTCAATTTTTAGCTCTTGAGCAATCGAAACAGTGCGTACATGATGGTCGGTCTCGACAATGCCCATGATTTTATCCACCTTTTTCACTTTCACTTAGTGAAGAATTTTCACATCAAAATTACAGGAATCAGACTGACATTGCACATGAATTTTAGTTCACAAGCTCGTTTCCAATGATCTTCGAAAATACCAAGCAGATTACACAAACAATTTGTCAGATTGTTTCCAGGGCTCCTGGAGAGGTTTGCTCTAAAAGGGACTGAACAGTTTGATTTGCTTCAAGCACGGTACATTGCGGTTTGTTGCTAAGATTAGCAAGACGACTACTCTTCTCTATTACTCTTCTAACCGCGAAGTGGACCAGAAACTGATCTAATCGAAAAAAATCTATTTTGGAGGAAAAATCGTAATTAGATGATTCTTTTTTTACGGGAAGTGGTTTGATCTATTTGAAAAATACGCATGTCCTTGGTTAGTTTTAGTTAAGTAATATAATTAATATGCTTAAATGAATTTCTTTTGGTGCCTGGAAATACAAGCTGTTCTTATAGCTTCAACTTGAGTGTGAAGAAGTGACCCACGCATACACACACAAAAGTAGTTAGATCAATAAATTACGGTTTTTTTTATCGATTTTAAATTTTCCGGAAATTCCCTAGAGTAGTTAGAAAAATTAACTTGATTTTTTATTTAAACTTAATTTCTTTAATTTTTTATGCTGGTCGGTTTGAAACTCGACCCCATGAACTTGTGCATGTACTTCACACTGCTAACCAAGAACCACTAGAATTTGCAATACAAAATAAAATAAAAAAAACGTAGCCCTTTTTGAAGGTGCGCTGCGGAGGTGAACCAGAGTTTGAATGCTGGCGCCAAGGAATTTCTGCCTAAGTGCCTGTTGGTAAGCAAGCAATGGTGATTGAGGTGGTCACCGCGTCCATTAACTATTTTGTGCGGCAGGCAACGGATTCAAATTTCACTTATAAAAATAACGAATGAATTTAGCAAACGCCCCGCTGACGCTGATGACAAGCGACTACATAGTCTACATATATATATGTATGTATATATATATATATATATATATATATATATATATATATATTTATTGTTTTGTGATCATTTTCGATTTTTTTTATCCATTTAAATATTACGTGTCTCCGTTTGTAGAAGGTTCTTTACAAACTTATTATAATTATTATCTAATAAATTAAAGACGGAATTCGCCAACCGCAAATGACATCATGCAAAATGCCACAGAGACGCGTGAGTTCTGTTTTATTCTTTTGCTGGAGTGTTGCTGCCTGTTTGTGCGTGCGTTTGTGCAGTTTACTTTATTCAATTAATGAGTTTAATTAAATTTTTGTACGCGTACATTTTTCGTTTTTTGCATATAACAGAGAAAATAAAAGTGAGTAAAAGCGAATGCTCGACATTGAACAGTGCGCATGGCCTTTTAGTCCCCTTCACTGCTTAGCTTGCAAAACGGAATAATAAAGGAAAATTGAAATTAAGGCAATCAAAGAACTAGGAATTAAAAAATAAGGTTAGGAAAAAGCATATTTTTTTTCTTTTTATAACGTTAAATTTTTTATTAACGAAAATATTTTCTAAATTTATTTTTTTTTACTAATTTGCTTTTGCAGTTCTATTTAACTCCATGGAAATCCGTCAAATATATTTTTGTTTGCAATCTCGCTACCTCATTTTACATTTCTGATCCAAAATCAGAGCATTTTTCTCATACCGCCGATTTTTAACCGGGTCAACTAGAGTAATTACTTAAATGAATGCGTTAAAAATAAATTGGCATGATTTCAAGTACATTTGTACATACATATGTTGACATACTAACTAAATTAATAATGACTCGCTTTTAAGTAGCCACTAAAATCTTCTTCTCGCCGTAGTTAATTTGTGAGCTGAATTATGTTAGAAGATCTTCTTCTCTAGATCAGTTAAAGACATTAAGAAATTTACTGTGCAGTTGTCCAAATACAAACAAACAAACCTATGCACATATATATGTGCTGTATTATATATACTGTTTTTCTTTGTAGAAAATAGTTTGTATCAAAATTAAAATGATGCCAAGTAAAGCAAGAAAAGATCTTCCTGAGCGCGAGATTCAAGCTACACTGAGAAAAAGCTTCCTTGAAAATTTTGCATAAATTTAATTATTGAATTAAATACCCGCAGCGGCTTGGAGTGGTACACAAAAATGTCTCTGCCTAAAAACGATAAAGTTGAAAATAAAATAATTTACTTTTTATTTAATTATTTGATTTTTTTGAAAAAGTATTTTTATTCTAAATGAAAATATTGTAAATGTTTTGATTGGATTGGTTTATAAAAAAAATGTAATCACAACAGACATCGGACCGATTTTCTACCCGACTTTGCCCGCTTTCTCTCTGAGAGCACTCATCTCTACCTCAAACTCCGCACTGATATTTGGACTGAGTAGACTAAAAAGTGAAGTCCCTACTCGACGAACAAAGACTACATGGGACGGAGGCATTAACGATGACAACATATGATGCGTCGGCCTTGAGAGCCTACAAGAGAAACGTTTTGTCACCGATTTATGGTCCTTTGTGCTTTGGTAAGCGCAACATTGACATGGTATAGCGAATGAAGAGACAGTGGTTACGCTGATTAGGTCAGGCCATCCGAATGAATGAAAGCACTCCAGTTTTGAAAGTATTCCCCGCTGGTGGAAGCAGCGGAAGACGAAAACCTCTACTCAATTGTAAAGACCAGGTGGAGAAGAACTTGACTATACTTGGTATTTCCAATTAGCGACAAACACGAAAGAGAGGGTTTGAATGGCGCACTATTGTTTCTTCGGCTCTAATCGTGTAAGCGGAGCCTACGCCAATGAAGAAGAAGAAACTTGGTTAAACAGATGAAAAACTTCACTCAAAATACGTTCAATTTCTCACAGTGCACAGTCCAGCCCCATTTCTTTTCTAATTTCTTTACAAATTCTGCACT